AAAAAAAAAAAAAAAACGGCCTTTTCACCAAAAAAGTTTGCGGGGGGTTTAAAAAAATTTGCTGGAAATTCGCCTCGTTTTTATTTGTCACAATAGAAAAGCTCTCTCTCTCTCTCTTAACAAATATTTGCTTACTTTAACTAGTAATACAGTGAAAAAAAATCTGGTGTCATGTAAACATTGGTTAAATAAATCCCATCGTTCACCCGGCAGGACTACACTGGTAAAAGGAACACGTGCTCTCACTTTAGGACCTACCACCCAGAAATAAGCTGATTTGGGATAATGATTTATTTTTTATTTTTTTAATTTTACAACTCAATTCGTACGTAAAGGATTAATAGATCATCCATCTATATCTGCATCATCGTTCGCTCCGAATGCCATTTTATTTATTTAATTACGAGTTAATTATAAGAACTTCCGAGTGAAACTAAAAAAAAGTGTGTAAAACAATATGTCAACCGCACCACATCCTTCCGGTGCCGACGAAGCCTTTCTTACAATACCAGAACTCTTCAAGGCCGATTGGAATAAGACAAGTATGGTAGTGTTTGAGATGTTATCTATATTAGCTTTGTTTGTTTTTTTAGAGAGAAAAGCTATCCGCTGCGTCTACCGCAGGGAATCGAACCCTGGATCTTAGCGCTGTAAGTTCGTAGACTTACTGGGGGATATCTGTATTAACAAATTGCTCAAACAAAAACTGATAGGGCGTAAAATGGATTAGGTTGTGAAACGTAATATTTATCAATCTTAGTGATGTCACAATTCACACCAGTTACTTTCACTCAATAGTCAATTCCCATACACCTTCATCTAACAACTTAGTTTACATAAAATACAAACAGACTGCAGGGTTTTTACAGTAACAAAATATATGTACACATAAAAATCCTCCAAGACCATATGGGAAGATGAAAAAAGTACCGAAAGGGGTTAGGAAATAATGATACTAAAAAATTGTGTATAACGATGAGAGTTTAAGATTGATAAAGAGACTAATTCATCTTATTAGTGTAAAATATTTAGGAGATAATGTCATAAGTTTGTTTAGCACAAAGTTACACAATGGGCTATCTGTACTGCGCCCACCACGGGTATCGAAATTCGAGTTTTAGGGTTATAAGCCTAACGTCGTGACACAGCTGTATTTAAAGAAAAAAAAGAGGTGTTTAAGAGTGCTATACGATGAGAATATAAAACACATCTTCTGAAACTAAGAAAAAACTTTCATGTTAATCTTGTCTGTTTGCACCTAGTCAGCAGCACCCACTGCCCAGCTCTTGGGCTATTCCACTAGGTCACGCCTGGCCCCTTGTTAGCCCTCTTGTCTGTTTGCACCTAGTCAGCAGCACCCACTGCCCAGCTCTTGGGCTATTCCACTAGGTCACGCCAGGCCCCTTGTTAGCCCTGGAATCTTAGAAAGTGTTGAAATGTTCCAGAAGTACATGTGTGTGTGTGTCAAAATACAACATATAACTGTTCTGATGAAAATCACTTGTGCCTCATGTCGGAGGATAATTAACATACGTTCATAATTTATAATCGTCAACACCAGAATCAGTATCCACGATGGGCAAAGGTCATCTTCATTATTGACCAAACTGACGTCATGACAGTAGAACTATGCTATTCTAGAGGAATGAAACTGACACGGCTACGACCTTGCTGCTTCCACGGTTTCCATAGTAACCTGAAACGAAGATTAACAGTTTGTCAGGGTAGTCACAGTGTTTATATACCGTGGTAGTCACAGTGTATGTACAAGGACTGGAGTAGTTACAGTGTGTGCACAATGACCGGAGTAGTCACAGTGTGTGTACAAGGACCGGAGTAGTCACAGTGTGTGTACAAGGACTGGAGTAGTCACAGTGTGTGTATACAATGACCGGAGTAGTCACAGTGTGTGTATACAATGACCGGAGTAGTCACAGTGTGTGTATACAATGACCGGAGTAGT